AGTCCCTTAGATCACGCAATTAACATCAAAATTAAATTTAAACTTGATTAAGCATGTCAATCAATCAAGTTCGTTAATTTGTGTGATTAAGAGAGCATATATATATATATATATATGTATGTAATTTTGATTTTTTTTTTTAAATCTTTGTAAATAATAAATAATTTACTAAACAATTAATGGGTTTTTTTTATTTATATATTTATAATTTTCTAATGGGTTATCATGAGATTTCTTAACTTCAAAACATTATTTCAACTACCAACAATTTTCCATGTAGACAATAACATCTTACAATATTAATTAAATTCTTGTTTCCCTCCACTAATTGTAATTAATGACCTTTTATTGTCTCTTAATTTAATAATTAAATTACACTTAAATTTTAATTAAGTCTAAGAAGCCAATTTATTGCTATTAAAAAAAAAAAATTATGTAATGTAATTAGATTTTATAAGAGCAATTCATCATTAGTCATGGAAAGTTGTGGGTTAGGAGAAATTATTACATCAAATGAAATAATTATTAAGCTATGAATACTGAGAAATATTTTCTTGGGCTGTGAGCCTACTTAATATTATTATTATTATTATTTAATTTTACCTTATATTAAAATTCTTAATATTCAACGAAAAGAAATTAATTTTTTTTTTGTAATATTACATACTAATATAATATTGTAAATTTATTAGCAAAAATTATAATAATAAATTTAATATATACCCATTTTGTAAATTTTTTCTTTTTTTTTTTATAAAATTCAAATTTAGAAATGAAAATTAGGGTTACCTTTTTCCACAATGAAAAAAGCCACTTTGCAGCAGATCTCTAGATTCTCTTGTCTGATTTTAATGTGATCCAAATATAATAAATAAATTTGATTTAAGGGAAGAAAAAAAATTAAATTAAATTAATTAAGCTTGATTAACATTATAATTAACTCCCTTAATTAAATTTAATTATACTAATCATTAAAAAAAAAAAAAGAGAAATCAATAATCATGAACACAACTCAGGAAAACAGTAAATCAATGAGCTTTTCAAAACAAAGCAACAAAAAGCTCTTCATTATAACCACCATCCACTTAAATTTTACCTTTATTTCATTTGATTAAATACTAATTATTGCATGTGTGTTATCTTAATTTCTTTACATCATTTCTTGAGTAATTAATTTCTTTCTGGGTAAAAAAAGACTTACCCTATATATATATATATATATATATATATATATATACACACACATATACTTTTTGTGGGTTTTTTCTGTTAATAAATTTGAATATATATGTGTATATATGTATATATATATATATATAGAGAGAGAGAGAGAGAGTTAACTTAGTCAATTAAAAATGCAAACCCTTTTTAATTACTTGTATATTAAGAAGATTATGGTGTGGATTCCAGTGGTGGAATTCCACAACAAAGTTCTTGATTGTGATTTAACAAGAAGAGTGATGATTTAATTATTATATATCACCCTTAAAAATGGGTTTTTGAGTTCTAAGTCAAATTTAATACAGTGATTTTGGTTTATATAATTGCTGCCGATATATATATATATATATATATATGTATGTGTGTATGCACACAGCACATTCATATCAGTAACTATTGAAAAAGAGAAGGAAATGAAATTATATATATGTCTTGTCATGAATTAGATGGGATGGAGACAAAAAGAGAAGAGTGAAATTTGAACAAGAGAAGAATTATGATAGAGAAAATAAAATTATAGAAAAAAAAAAGTACTCCATGGTCGGTGTAATAATCATCTTGTATGATTTGTAAAGGCAAATTCTTTCAAGACAACAATGATTCAGTTTCATACACATACAACCAGACCCACATATTCAATTTCTTTTGTAAGGAATAAAAACCCATATAAAAACCCTAAAGATCAACAATGAGAAATTCTCTACTCTCAAGATTGAGAGGAGAAGAAAATAAGCTATATATATCAGAAAGTATCCCAACAAGAAACCAAAACTTACCTGACAAAGTTTTGTATACGATTTGATCATATGGACACTGCTTAATTACAAAAGTTCAGCTCAATCAGCTGGAACAAATTCCATAGAGTTCATGAAAAAGATTGGGAATCAACAACCATATTTGGTATCTAAACAAACGAAAAACTGTATCCGGTTATTGGCACCACGAAAATTATGATAACCTGCCAGACTTCTCTACTTCCTGTATATGAATCTACGCTATACGAAACAATTTTCCAATGCTTCCATGATTTTCCAATCACCATCAACTTCATATTCAGCTACCATTTACAACGACTGAGAATTTTGTACTCTGGATCTGCTATGAATAACAAGTACATCAACATTATAAAGCAAAGTCTTAGTTTGGAGTTTTAAACTAGTGTTTTGTATAATTAAGGGCCAAGAAATTAATCGGCAACTCACCATAGTATGAGTCATTATTGAAAAGTAAGCTTCATGATGATGGTGATGGTGATGGTGATGATTCTTGGCTGAGCCGATTCTCTTAAATTTTATTAAGAGGCTCACCAACTTCGTCTTCCTGGACATTAACAGCTTCATCTGGTCGGTTTCCTACATTTCCATCCACACTCCTAGTGCCAGCATTAGTATGGGGTTGGAGTTTGGTGCGAGCCCTGCGAGAAGGATTTGAGAAAGGAGCTGCTCGTTTCTTCACTTCTGTGCTCTTTTGCTTCCTCTCCATGTAGAATCCACTTTCAAGAGCTTCCAACACTCTAGTGGTTGATGGACGGTTTCTTGTGCTTTGCCTCCTACAGTTTGTATTAGGCTGCTGTTCTATAGCGCCATTATTGTTACTAGAGGTCTTCATTGCCTCTGGATCAACCTTGTTTCCCGTCAAAGATGAGCAGACTGCATTTGAATTTGTGCACTGATTACCATTTGCGTCCACCTCTACTGGATGAATATTTCCGGAGTCTACTGGAATGTGGTTTAGGTTCAAATCAATTGATGGATGGGGCTGATGTTTCTCATTGCTATCATTAGGCATCTCCATGCCAAAAGAGTCACCACTGTATACGATTCCACTGCCTTTTTCTTCTGCATTGCCATCAGATTGAGACAGAGTTGCCGACATATTCACTTGAGAAATATCCACACGATAATCATTTCTTGTATTTGGTGTGTTCGAAGTGCAGGAGGTCCTTCTGGCCTGTTTCAACTCAGGGTTGACTGGGAAAGTTTCAACTGTATGGCTCATCTCCGACTTAACACATGCAGTCAATCTCCTTCGTTTTATGGAAGGAGCTGAATTAATTGACTGAGAAGCTTTTGTTCTGCGGCTAAACTGGCGCTTTATAGCTCTATTTGCCTGGTCCTCATCCAATGAATTGGCATTTTGGTCCTCACTCCATAATGTATTATTTCTGGATTCCAAGTCAAGTGCCATGTCTTTTGAATAATCAGTATCAACTACACCCTCACCAAGGTTGAAAATACTGTCATTTTTGTCACCATTCAGAGGCATATTCACTGTTGCACCAACATCCAGCAAATAGTCAGAGTTCCGTTTGTTTTCTCCCAAGAAACGTTTCGCAGGTCTAGACTCAATTGGAGAATATCTCAGTTCTCTCATCCTAGATGACTTCCCTCCATGGTTTAAACTGGTGTCTACAACAGTAAACTTCGTTCTATCTGGATTATCAATTTTACCTTTGCCGTGGTCAGAATCAGTTCTACACTTCTTACCATTTAATGGTATAGCGCAATCATCTACCACAGATTTATCCAGTGAATCCACAAAGAAGCACCCTTTGTTTTCTAGTTGGGTTGGTTCAGTAGTAGTCATGAAATCAAGTGGTACATATCTAAGTTCTGTCACCTTCGATGATTTTCCTCCACTGACTAAACTGGAATCGACAATGGTAACCTTCATGAGGTCTGAAGTGCAATTAGAGACCCGGGGCTTAAGGTAACAACTAGTTCTATGATCAGATGGATCATCTGGTTCTGACAGTGTTTCTGAAGCCCACCCATCAACCTCATTGCAACTGCTGAGTCTAAATTCTTCAGCTTCAAGCTCAAGAAGCTCCGGTTCAGATGCCACCTTCCTCAAAATATCACTAATGGAGTCAAAGTAGTGGTCTCCTTTGACAAGTTTCCTTCTAGAAAACTTCTTAACTCCAGGCATAAGAAAAACCAGATAATGATTGGAACTAACATGAGCCTGATCTTTAGGTTGTTCAGAGTGCCAACCTCTTGCCAGCAAACGAGGCCAAACAGCTTCCCAGAAAATATCATTACATCGGGCTTTGCTCAACCTGAAGCCTCCTGTCAAAAACTTGATTATGTCACTTGGCGTGAGAGAAGAACAAGCTTTGCCAGTGGGTATTTCTGAACAAAGCACTTGTTTGGTCTTTGGAGGCTCCATGGCAAGGCTTGTTAGATCTTCCTTCCCCTTACCAATAGCTACAGCTTCAACTAAAATAGGAACACTAACAAGGAGCTTTAAGAAGTAGATGTAATCTTCTAGTGAAAGACTTCCCTCAGAAAGTGACTTTGAGGCCTGTTAACAGAATAAGAACAAAGTAATTAAAGGATATCAAATTCTCTGCTAAACAAATTAAAAATTTATTTGACAACCGATCATGCAAGACCTGTACAGATCCATTATCAGGAAACGTCCAAAAGGAACATAGACATTTCACATAAATGTCTCCCTCATTTCAACTTCAAGAAGAGGCATGTGGAGAAGAGTCAAGTCCCTAAAATTTGGACACTAATAGAATTTAGGTGGCTAGTACTCAACAAATCGCACCAGCATTCTTTTCCTATCATAACTGAAACATTTGTTTGGACAAGTTTCATCGAAGATATGATAAAGATTCAGTGCAGTACCTTAAGCTCAAAGCAAGTGATGAATCCTCCTGCTACTGAACAAGATAAGTTTCAAAAGATGAGCTTCAGGATAAATAATAAGCTATGTATTCCTTCAATCCTCTTGACTTCTACTTCCTACTCATTTCCAAGTTTCTACCTTCCACTTTCACATCAAACTTTATGCTCATTGCTTAACAAAAAGCATAATTTTTTTAAGTCAGGGAATACTATCCTAGACAACTCAAAGCATTATCTTCATCTAAGACTTTTGTTGAACTAGTTAGAAATAAAATTTGAAACAAACTCTTTAGTATTTTACAAATATTTTCGATTTCTAAAGCAATTACAGTTGTAGCACTACCACAGACAGAAAGCCAAGGCAAAGAAGCATTTATCCACATCTAAAAAGGAAACACTACTGACCACAACTCTGTGAACTATGACCTCTTACCTCCACAAAACCATTTTGAAGTTGCTCAGGGACATGAGGAAGCAAACGAGATATTAACTCTTGTTGCCTCCACCCAGTAAAAATTTTCCGTCCGTATACACATTTTCTATTTCTTGTCTTCCGGCAATTTGACCACCTCTGGTATTTATCAGACTTATAAAACTCTCCATAATAAAAAGATAATATTTCTCCCATGTCCTTATCCACGATTAAATTCTTTATTTGGATAAAATTCTTCCCAAACACATATAAACCAAGAAGAAAGCTATCCACTTCAGCATTGCTCCAAGGGTCACTTAATGATCCAGGAAGTGGTCTGTAGTTCTTTGTTTGGCCTGTCTGACATGGATTGATTCTTGATGCCACAGATGCTGGTTTTGATTCGTTTTTGTTGTTCAATTCAGCACCCAACTGCTCAACTTTTAGTTTCGAAACCTTTTTCTTTGCACAAGTATGACTCCTTTTGTTTTTCATAGACTTGAGAGATTCATTTATGTCAATGGTATCATCTTGATTATCGAGAGGTTTCCAACCCTCATTTATTTCCTTTTTCAATTTATCATTTACCCACATCACTCTGACAGGTAAACCCACTAGAAACAAATGAGAAGCATCAAGTGAGATTTCTGACTCAGCAGGATTTGCTAAAAGATGACGGTGCTCAGCTTCTGGTATCATGGGAGGAATTTCTGCCTGGTACTCATCCCCAACTCGAGGATCAGCCTGTGGATCTCCACATACATAACTTATATCAGGAGAATCTGGAGAAAGTGACGGCTCCAAAGTTGCTTCTCCGATGAGATTGGCAACGTCACCATTACTTGAAACTGGTTCCAACTGCTCAAACAATAAATATTGAAACAAGAACATAGATCAGTAATTACATTAAAGATAGAGCAAGAAAGAAAAAGAAAGTCACTATTGGAAATATACTTTATCCAGAGGCACATTATTAGCTAAAGCACAAATTCACAGAATATAGAGTAAGTTGGACTTTACAAACCACAAAAATCTGAAAACAAGATGTGAACAGAAAGACTATACATGTAGGTGACAGAGAATTCTATTCTTATAATTTGTGTGTAAAAAAAAAAAAAAAAAAAAAAAAACTACTCATATAATTATACAATGTATGATTAGACAAAGAATAAGTTGCAAAACCAAGTCTAAGATGTGATAAGAGTTCTGTGATAATTCCAGTTTCTCCATACTTGCCTTCCAATTAATCCTAGAAATGTTAAGAAAAAGACATGAAATATATAAGTGCAGAAGCACATGGAGGCTGTAATGCTACAATGCCAAGAAACATAATATACATGATACTCCAAGCAGACCGAGCTATATCTTGAGAAATCTTCTGCCAAAGATCCAGTGTAATTCCCATTACTTTAATTTCCTGATTAATCACATCAAACGAACAAGTGGAAGGAAATTCCACAGCACTGAAGCAATAAAAGAAAAGTCACAAGAGTGTCTTTTCATTTACAGAATCATAAATGAGAATAAAAGAAAAGGAAAATAATCAATCTTTCCATGTCAATTAGGTGGGGTGCAGGAAGATTCAGTCCAATGTTGGCACAAAACAAAAGCATTCTTGAACAAGATAAAATCCACAAACCCAATTGCTGCACCAAAATCCATTACTTATCCAAGCTAGAAAGAGAAATCCCAATCTCTCCTCCCATCCAAACCCACTTGCTAAATCAATAAACATGAACATTAATAACAACTCTGCAACTGCTGGTCACCGAGAAAAATCCCATTATCAAATTTATGGAAGTAAAGCAGCAAGAGAACCAGAAAGAAAGACAGATAAAATGGCAGTCTTAGGGTACCAACCTGCAACAGGATCACCACTCCAGATCCATTCCCACACAAAATTTTACCACCAAGACAAATTGAACATGCCCAGAAACAAGAACACAGAGAAAAACCCAACATGAACCAGTAACAACATTTGAAAGAAACCAAAATAACTATACACTGATATAAAGATTGAACAAGAGCTACGCATAATCACAGCAAGAACTCGTGACTGCCACACCAAACATCGGTCACCCACAGTTTACATGTAAAATTCTTTGCGATCGTCTAAACAATTAACTCATGTATAAGCACAAAACAGTCATGAAAACAGCAAACCAGCGTATAAAGATACTACATTAGCGTCAAAGAGTATGCAGAGAGAAAAATGGCGGAAGAATAAAAAGGGCAGACAACAGACTAACCTCCATGAAAAAAACTTGAGAACGTGAAGACCCAACGTGAAATAAAAGACCTGGACAAATGGGTATTCATGTTACGCGTTGATTGACAACTATTATCAATCTCTACAGGGGAAAAAACTACATCTAGAAAACAAGAAGTAAAGAACATATACATATATACAGGAAAAGAAAGTAGAAAGAGATGTAGAGAGAGGGAGAAGAGACCTTGGTTCAGGAGAGCAGGAGTTTCATGGCGGATGGTAGAGTGAATTCGCGGGGGATGGACAGAGCAGTGAGAGAAGAAAGCGAAGAGCTTTGTACGGAGAGGGCCACAGGGGAAGGAGAAAATTTGATGCGTGCGTTTGGACGAATCCTTTTTAAGCGAGGGACAAGTAAGAGGAGCGACTCGAACATGAGAAAATATTTCAAGAACCAAATATATATATATATATATATTTATATATATATATATATAAATAACGTCAACGGGATCCGGGCAATGAAATTCACTCGGCAATTCTCTTCTTCCTTTTTTTTTTTTTTGTATAATTTTCTTTTATTATATATGTGATTTGAAATATTCATAATATAAAATAAATAAATGTAATATATATAGATATTTAATTAAAACCCGGTTTAAATAAACCATTTTTATTGACAGTCAAAAATATATATATATATATATATATATAAGTTGAATGTACTTTCCATAAACTAGAAGTCCCGATACTTACAATACATATGTTATTATTTATAAGCATATGTTATATAATTAATAAAATATATAAATTTTTAATAAATTTAAATATTAATTTAATATTACGTAAACCATTAAATTTTAGAATTTAAAAAAGATTTTTTTAAAAATATATATATATATGTTATCGGTTGTTATTAATAATTTATAGTATTCGAACTCGTACCAATTCTAAAATTTATAAGTATCGAGTTTTTATTACAATTTTTTCGTTATGTGGATTTTTTTTTTCTAAATAAAGAATTTGAATGGAGTTAAATTAAATTAATTTTTTATATAAAATATATATCAAGACTCAAATTTAAATTTTTTATTTTTTTTGTAACTAAAAACATTATATTATACAAATTAAAACTTAATTTGTATCATTAAATTCATAATTTATAACAAATATTACAAATTAAATTAACCAGGCAAGGTTTGGGCCTGGGCTAAACAGATCAGGTTTGGGTCAGCCCATGGGCTTCATAGTATTATTTTTTTTTATAGTTTTGTTAATGATTATTATTTTATTACTTATTATTTTTATAATTAACTATAAGTTTTTAATTTTTAAATTAAATTGAGCTAAATTAGGGTTCTATTTATGGTCGGATAAACTAAGTTCGAGCTGAATAAATTTATTTTTTTTTTATTTTTTTCAGTTCAACATGCTCGCTTTACCGAACATAGTTAAATATGTTTTTTAATCTCGTTGATTGAATCGGGTTAAATTGGACAAAATATTTAATTAATACACATTTTAGTTCTAAACGAAAGGCGGTAATTAAAGTAAATAAAAATAAAATTTTAAAATAGAAAAAGAGCCAAAAAGAGTAAAATTTAAGTAAAAAATTATTAAATAGTTGGATATAAAATTATGTGATTAATTGATCTGAAGGGTAAAATATTAACATATTAATTATTTGGTCATACGAGTTATTTTATTATTTTTATTAATTAATTTGTAATACCTGATCCCGAAATTATAGTCCGGTATTAATTTTAATATTAAAAAAATGTATAAAAATTTAATTTTGAAATTAATAAATTTTAATTTAATGTGTAATTATAAAAAAAATAAGTTAATTATGAAATTGAAAATAATTTTGAAAAAAAAAAGTGAAAATTTGGATTCGGATAGTATTTTTGAAAGAAGAATCGAAAACTGTGGGTCAGAACGCAATTAAGAAAAATTTTGTTACGTATGACTGCCCAGTCAGTAGTCTCGACAAACCGGAGCGCGCCGTGTGTCAAGGCACACTGACTCGATACCACACGGGAGGCCACGCTGGTGATTCTCGTGCTCGCAATCGGACGACCTAGAAGCGTTCCCGCGCTCATGGACGGTCTGGATCCGTTCTCTCTTCAAGCGCGATCAGACGATCGCGATCAAATGTGATAAACAGTTTAGATTCGTTAATTCTCTAAATGCGATTGAACGGTTCAGATTTATTTCTTCTTTAAATGCAATTGGACGGTCAAGATCAAACGTGATGAACGACTCAGATTAACATGAGACGAGTATAAATATTTCGCATCACACTGAACCCAAATCCTAGTCGCCAGCCTCTCGCTGGAGAAGAAGAACCAGTTGCTGGAAAAGGGGGCTAACCACCGCCCGCCGCTATGCCGGAGCCACTTTTGACTACCAAAAAAATATAAAAATTCTCTTATATGCTCGAAATTTAATTCCGAGCACCCCCATGACTAAATCGGAGCAAAATAAATGACAGATGAGCTGAAAACTGCGGATAAAGTCCGGCAGCGCCGTTGCGAGCAAAACTCGCAACCTCCTCCGATGAACCCCTTCATGTTTTCCGCTTTGTGCGATTTTTCTATCGTTGTGTTCATCGCTTTGTTTTCTACAGATTGACCGAATAAAAACATCAAACTACGAAGGTGAGCCGATGGAGTCACCCACTGAAAAATCTCACCACCGATAGATTTTTATTTTTTTACTTTTTTCGGCCAACCGATGCCCCCTAACGTGTTTTCTTGCAGAGATTGATATAAAACAGGCCGAAAATGGTCAGGCTAGGCAAACCACCGCTGGAGTACGGTGGTGCTGCCATGCCGGAACTCCGAAATTGGTTGGAAAAAAATTTTTAACATCAATTTTAGATTTTTTGGGTATTTTTAGGTACGTAAAGCGTGTTTTAATCTCCACTGAAAAATTTAAGAAACTCGAGGACCGCCAGTAGGCGTAGTAGAAAATTCAATATTTCGAATATCGATTCGGATAAGAATCTTTTATTTTATTCTCTGCTATGGAATTGAAGCTTAATAATCGATAATATGGTATTTTGTATAATTTAGAAAATTTTGAAAATAATTATATGTTACTAATAGAGACGGAACTGGTTAGTTATTTATTTGTCTTGATTAACTGATTGTTAAATTTACACATTTAAATACATAATGATATATTGGAATGGTTAAATGATTCAATTGTACTTCTTTAATATATATATATATTGTTTGTCTTGTATGATTTATAGTTGATTTGTAAAATTAAAAATTAATATGCAAACGAAAAATTATTTGGTCATGTGAATTAATGAATGGTAGCCTTACTGGATATCTTGAGCGATGGTGAACGGACTGGATATATAGAAAACCCTACCGTAAATATTGTCTCATACTGGACGGGGTAACGATGAATGATATTTTTTGCGCTCATAACGGACGGAATATGGGGACGACTCGATTCACTCTCATATCGGACATGGTATTGAGGGATAGTATTTTTGGCGCTCATACCGGACGGAGTATAGGGACAGTTGGTTAGTTGACAATATTGGATATTGATTCACGCGTAGTTGGACATCCCTATGGATTCCCAATGATACCAGTAGGCAAATAAAAAGGAAAAATTATTATTTTTACTCACTTGAATATGATATTAGATTGTCATTTGAGTTATTGTCTTCATAAATCGATTTTACAAATCTCGCAACAGTGAATATATGTAATAAATAATTTTTCTTATGATAAATAAATTTACTTAAATCAATAGCTCCATTGTTTGTTTTTATGATTTTTACCAACCTTCAGTTTTTGTATCGGTGAGTAATGTTATATTCTTACTGGGTTAGTGTAGATCACCATTTCATTTACTATTTCATATCAAAAGTATCAAGATCCAGATCCCGATCAACAAGAAGGTTGTAAATAAGTTCATCACCCGGATTCCTTTCAAAAGATAGTGAAAGTCATCCTAAAATGTTTAATTATTTATTTATTTTTTTTTTTTTATTTTCCTATGTTCTTTTAGAATGAACATTCCGATAATCTTATTGGGCATTCTAAATTATTGTGTAAAGATTGCAAACCCTAAACTCTATTCTTTCGCTTCCGCATTTAATTTATAATTTTATCACCTTTTAAGATCCGGATCTTTACATGAATAATTTAAAATTGTAAAAATTTAAAAAATATATTATTATATTTTTTATTTAAATATTAAAATAAAATGAATAAACAGTGAGAATAATTCATTTTATTATTAAAAAAATCTATTTTATAATCTTTTTGCAAGTACAAAATATATTATTCTTTTAATTGCTGCTTTAACTTCCCTTTTTTAAATATATATATATCAGAGAAATATTTAGAACTTGCACAAAAGAAACCGGCCAAAACTGTCGCCTGGATTTGCCGCGACCACAGTTGAGCTCAGCCATCTTCATAGTCAACGATCCAGTCCATATAAATACTAACACAGTAAGCTATACTCCATCTTCAACAATCAGATTTTTATTATATTATTTTCGTAATCTTCATTAATTTTTTTTTTCTTTTCATGAGATTCGTGCTTTCTTAATTATTTTTCAAAAACACCCTCTTGATTGACAAGCAAAACAACCCATCAAAAATTAATTAATGAATTCTGCACTCCTGACGTTAAATCCTTAACCTTTACGACTTTCCAGCTCTGTTGCTCCTCTGTAAACTGTTCAAAACGAGATTCAGATCTCACCAAGAATGAAAACTAGAGTGTTAAACAAAATTTCAGTCCTCAAGTTCTTAGCCATTTCAAGTTTTTCTGTGAGAAAAAGAGAGAAAGTTGTAATGCATCTTATCAGGATCAGGTGATTGGACGATGGAACAAGAATTCAGCTTTGCCTTCAAGGATATTCTTGCTGTTTCCTATCTGGGTTTGTGTTAATATTGGTAATGAATCTTCCCTTTGGTTGGATTTTTTTGTTAGGCTGTTTAGATATCAGCTTTGGTTTATCTGTTTGGTTGCTGATAAAATGGAGGGTTGAGAAAAATGAAAATTTTGACTGCTAGCTTTGCTTTTTGTTTAGTCGGTGTTTAGAAATCCAGCTGCTTTCCATGAAGTAGGTATTTCATATTTTATGCATTTAATATTCCTCCTCTTATTCTTGGCAACCAAACACAGTCCAGAAATTAGCTCATTTTGATCACTTTTTCCTATTATTAAAACTCTGATTAGGTTAAAGAGTCAAGAACAGAAGAGGGTTTCTGGGATTGTGAATGATTGAAGATGGGGAGGTTATGGCTTCCCAAGTGCAAATTGGCAAGGATAATGGGTTGGTTGCAGATGATGCTAGGAACCCTTGTCATAATTGTAAGTATATCCAGTCTATTCAAGTTCTACTCTGCTGGTTTTTTCCTTAAAAATGAAGATATTTGCCATCATTTTTACGGCATCAAGGATGTCTACACGGGTTTCGATCTGAAATCGTTGAATGATCGAGTTGGAGAAGTGATAAACAAGATGGAAGCATTGCAAGGAAAACTTGAAAAAACAGTTCAAGAAATGGAGAAGAACAAGATGAAAGAAATTTTGGCCAAGAAATTCTTGGAAGAGGAAGTGATTAGGCCTCTTGACAGTGCTCATATGTCTCTCAAGCAAATAATGCTGCCAAAACCTGAAGGAATTAGAAACTCAACAATGAAAGAAGAGCCTTTGATTAATACTTTCGTAGTAGAAGAGATTAGGAAGTACATTACCTCGAAAGAGAACAGATTAAAACAGGTCAACTTATATGGGACAGATAGAATATATAACAATATAGGCCATGCTTGTGTCCTGCTGAAGAAAGAATTGGAAGAATACATGGATTATGACATTGGATCTTTTTGCAAAGATGATTGGAATCTAGCACAGAAACTAATGATTAATGGGTGTGATCCGTTACCTAGAAGACGATGCTTAACAAGAGCATCAAAGGTATTTCAGAAGCCGTATCCAATCAATGAGTCTATGTGGAGATTACCAGATGATAAGAACGTGAGATGGAGCAATTATCGGTGTAGGAACTTTGCTTGCTTGTCAAGCAAGAACATGAATCGAGGGTTTTCGGAGTGCCCTGAATGTTTTGAGATGGAGAAGGAAAAGCTGAAGTGGGTGACTAATAGTTCACTACCTGTTGATTTCTTGATCTCTGATGTTTTGTCAATCAAGCTTGATGGGGAAATTAGGATTGGCTTAGATTTTAGCATCAGTACAGGAACTTTTGCTGCAAGAATGAGAGAAAATAATGTGACAATTATCACAACAGCTCTGAATTTAGGTGCTCCTTTTAGTGAAACTATTGCTCTTAGAGGCCTAATTCCTCTATACTGGACACTGAATCAAAGACTTCCATTCTTTGATAACACAATAGACTTGATCCACACGTCGGGGCTTTTAGACGGATGGATTGATTTACTGCTACTCGATTTCATATTATATGATTGGGATCGTGTGTTGAGACCTGGAGGATTACTGTGGATCGATTCTTTTGTAAACGAAAGGATACTGATGATTATATGTATATGTTTCAACAATTCAGGTACAAGAAACACAAGTGGGTTATTGCTCCTAAATCAAAGGATGAGGTCTATTTTTCTGCACTAATGGAGAAACCTCACAGAGCAATATGATTTACAATTGTAATCTGAATAATGTCATTGTGTTATATAAATTTGATGATGTTGTAATTTCCAAAGAGTAAATTCTCTTGCATGGAAGACAGAAGATCCATATGGTACGTGAGATATATATATATATACATATATATATATATATCATACATTGATTCATAAAATTTGTGAAATAATTAAGAAATAGATAAATTTATTTTTGAAAAATACTAAATACAACGTTTGAAATTCTTTTAAATTTACTATTTTTTTTAAAAAAAAATTTATCTTTTGTTGTTAATAAACTTTTTTGGAATTTATGGATAAAATACGAAATAAAAATTATATATATATATAGATATATTCACGCAGGAAATTGAAACCTAAAATTCCAAGATGCTTCCAGGTTATATAGTTTTGTTTTGTTTGGGATACTACTTTAAGAAATGGGCCGAGAGAATATTACTTGGGCTTTAGATCAAACGCACCGTTTCGTCTCATTGAACACCATAAATTGGGCTCTAGATCATAGGAGTGTGTTCTCTTTGTAGAACATTCAGTTTGAATTTTATCAACACACTAGATTTCAGCTCATATGTATATATAGACATGTATGTATATATATATATATATATATATATATAGACACATATTATACATGTTTGTGATAATAAGCATGTACTTGTAAATGCAAATAAGAAGCTTTTTGAAGTACTTACATTTCAAAATACCCTGTTGCTATCACTAATTTTGGACTACCAAGAAAACCTTATAACAGGAATATTGCTCAAAAGCAAGTTCAGTATCTCACTTGCACTTTAGCCAACAAAAAGAAGCAAGTTAGATTACAAGGGTATATATATATATATATATAAGCTCTTGCAGGATGAAAAAATAAAATTAAGATGAGAAGTATACATATACATATGGATACAAAAGGACAAGAGAGATTATTTTGCTTATAACATATCTTATTTTAAACTGGATTAGATGCCCATTTGAGTAAAGTGAGAGATAATTAGGGAAAAGAGATCCTTCACAAAGTTGAGTTGTGTGGCATTCCAAAAGGGTAGGCCAACAAGAAAAGATGCACGTTATTCTCCCTCTCAAGTTTTCTCAAAAGACTTCCAAGTACTGTTACTCTCTAGGGTTTCCCCACCATTACTATATATGGATGTGGAGCCCCAAATCCATCTGTTTAATACATTAATTTAATACTTAGTGGAACTACATATACATATAATATATGTGTATGCGAACCCTAATAAAGTTCAAAAACCCTAAGCATAAAGACAAAGAAAAAACCCTTCAATTCAACTTTGCATAAAATTTTAAGGTATATTTGCAAGGGAAGTTGCTTGATAAGCCAGCATTATTACAAGCATATAAACAAAAACCCTGAAAATAATCTGAAAATGCAGTGTTTTAGGACATGTAAAAGCTCAAAGCTGCTTTTACAATTAATATTAGTTTCGTGGGTTTAATTAATAATGGCCATTGCTTTACAGTCTAGAGAGCATAATTTGATCAACTAGTATGCTCCATAGAATAGAAATCAACTAACTAAATTCAAGAAGGAAACACTGTATACAAACAGCATGCAAGGCCAAATGACATAGCATTCTCTTAGCAGAGTTGGAGTACCATCTTAGTTCTATTTGTAAAAAGATTATATCATAGTATATAATCGCATAAAACTATATCATATTGTCTAAACAATATATGCAGGCACAGATGTACTGAGCATGAAACAGAAATTACAAGATATATAACTGTAATTTGTCCTATACCAACTTGGATAAGATTAAGAAACAAATTCTGTATAGTTTTATTTACCTCTTGACCTGAACTTGATTAGTAACGCAAAACTTCTTTCCGAAGAGATGAATAGCAAAACAAAACTTAAAAGGAGAGTTATGGATGACTTTGATGCCGCATCTCAAGGAAAAGAGAATAACCTGCTTCATTTTCATAGCACTGTATTTGAGTTACTACCACTGAATTTTTTAATGAAAAGAATTCAATTCTTATCTTACAGGTAATTAAAAATTAAATTTCTAAATCAGAAAATCAAGATAGCATGTTGTACCTGAGAAATCAAAAATGATTTTGCACCAAATTAATGTTTAAATGGATATAATATATGGCATCTGAATTTTAAGTACATACAAAAATGATCCTCCTGAAAGTAATCAAAGCTGAGCAGATAATGTATGTATCCATATGAATTCTGTGGAAAGGTTCAGACCTGTCCTAAATTAGTTAGGTTAATCTCCCCATCTAATAATACAACAGGCCAAGCTAGTCATAAGTAAAAGAAATCATATATTTCTTCTTTTAAATCCAAATATTGTTAACTATCTTCTCTGTACTAGAATAAGATTTGATCACTCAAATAGAGAGAAAAAAAAAAAAAAAAGACCATTCAGAGCTTGTACCAAAACTTTTCAGGATTAGTAGAGCCATTAAGAATTTGATTAACTAAATCAAATTGACTTTAGCAGTCACATTCCAACCACAAATTATTCTTGCAAAACTAATTTTCAATTTCCACCATAATCCTTGATTATTGGCCTAACGGTCTGATCATGATTAGGTTACTTGACCTAAAAAGGTTCATTTTCATCCAAAGTAGGCCAGGCCACAATATTATGTTCATAGAAAAAAAAATATATGAGAGAAGAACAGGAGCTGAAACATATATGATGTACTTCTCAATAAAAGAGTTGAAAGATATATATATATATATATATGCATATTGGAGCTAGCACAACCACTTTCCATAATTTGAGTTTATTGCAACTCAAATCTTGTGTTTTTCAATTACAGCTCAATCTTTGCAGTTTAGTTGCTTATTATCTATAACAAAAGTAGATATGAAGTAACATATGTTGCAAAGAAGTAGTTTGCAGCATATTATTATGTGAGTATCTGTAGGAATTTAGCCTTCAAAAAGCAAACAACTACTACCCACATGTCATATACATCAAATAGATACTTAATAAACTAGCTAGCCCAGATCATTTAAGCTTCTTCATTAATATAAGGTTAAGACTAAAAGGGCGGCTAAGACCTAATTAACCTATACAATTTAAGTTCATAAAGGAAATGCTTTTGTAGCCAAATCGAGTAACAAACCTACAAACAACCTAAGTATGAGGTAATCAAACACTATTGTAATATATACACACATTCACACATCTAATCAGCACTTCTTTTCTAGGTAGCTTTGGTTATGTAATGTTCTTGTTAATAACCAAGAAAACGTGCAAAAATATCTCCCACTCTTTTGATCAGCACAAAGAATATATATGCATATATATAATATACTTAAAATTAATCCATTGCAAGGGGAAAGAAAAGTTAAGATTTTATAGAATATTACAGAGTACTGCATTAGTGGGAAATGGGGGGACCATATACAAACTAGACGTTTTAAAATATTATTATAACACATTCTTTAATATATATATATATATATAAAATTTGCTTGACAACTTGCAAATCTCATCAGATCATATTTTATGAAGAAATTTAGGCCTTTTTTCACTTTAACTTGAAAGTTGATTTGCTAGAGTTACTCAAAACTTTGGCCAGGGATGTGTGATATAACTGACACTATTTCATCTAGAAATTGTTAACAAAAGCAATACTATGATAATTCTTAGTTTAAATACTACAAGCAATTTCATTTCTACATTCTATATACATATATGTATGTATATAAAGCCTATGGTTGACTAGATTGAAGTAATATTCTAAGTCAATAATTTCTATATTTATAAAAGTTTTATTCGAAAAATCATGGACAGGATGCTAATATAAATAAGACAAGAAACTGATAGCATTTCAAGATTTCATTTATATTTTATATATCACGATATAATAAAAATTGACTTCTTAATTTTATCACGCAGTTTAATCTAAATAAAGTATTTTTTAAAATAAAATTATGGTTATCCTTTTAAAACTGAGCGCACCATTCGATGACCAAAAATCATATTAATACCAGGATATATGGTACTCATATCTTGTCACATGACATGTTGCGTTTACATGATCAAAAACATACACATGCATGTATGCGCATATATGAACATGTAGACGCGCATCTATAATAGAAAGGGAGGTTGCAGGTTTGCAAGAAAAGAAAAATTGATTCTGACACTAGAAATGGTTGATGAAGATAAATTGCTGCCAATTGCTAATGTAGGTCGACTAATGAAGCAAGTCCTTCCACCAAGTGCCAAGATTTCCAAAGAAGCCAAACAAACAATGCAAGAATGTGCAACAGAGTTTATAAGTTTTGTGACAGCTGAGGCATCTGACAAGTGTCACAAGGAGAATCGAAAGACGGTGAATGGAGATGACATCTGTTGGGCTTTCAGTGCTTTAGGGTTTGATGAGTATGCTGAGGCTATAATAAGGTATTTGCATAAATACAGGGAAGCTGAAAGACAGAAAGCTAACCAAAACAAACCTGCTAATGCTCAAGACAAGGATGAAGAATCAAACAGGAGTGGTCAACCAAGTAGTCAGCAAATTGACAGTAATACAGCTCCAATAGAGTTCAGTTAAAGAGAAGGCTGGTAATAATCTTCTCTTACACAACCCCCTCAACAGTAGTTTTCTACAGTTTCAAGTGAAGAACAAGATATATAAGTATGTATGTATGTATACTGGTATGGAAGCTGATGATGCTGATATAGAGATGAGAAGTGGCCATAGGAGAAAAGAGTAAACAGTTGTAAAAGATTCGTTTCTGTTGTAGAAAATTCGGTTGTGATCAGACGCTAAGGTATATTTCCAGCCCACCCATTGGGTTGCACTATTCCTTCTTGATCGGTTTCCTTATTGATTATGCTTGAGGTAAGGGAACGCTCCTAAAACTGTAACTAAATGCTTTAGTTTATACTCTATATTCTTATCAATGTTTCCTTCTTTGAGTTTAAACAGCTCTAACTTGGGCTTGATTTTGAAGAAATTGATTAATATCTGAGCAAAATGATTTGAAAGAGATCACAGTGCTTACCACCTAATAAAATAAAACTCACCTTATGAACTTCTCCCTTTCGTTCGTTGTAGCCAACATTTTGAGTGAAAGCTCAGTGAGAGTGATGCTCTCTAAACTTCCAATTCCTTAATCAATTTAGTCCTCAACTCATAATCCATAATATGTTAAGCTCCAATGAAAATCCTTGTAGAAACTCGCTAAAGCACTAGATAAACAAACTTTGTTGTTAAATCAAACATTTCCCAACACTTTTCATGTTTCTAATAAGAAAAGTTAGAAATAGCAACTTTGACGTGAGAAGTTGCCAATATTTTCTATGATAATTAATATATGTGTATATATATATATATATATATACATGTTAAATTAATCCCAAAAGAAACCGATGCTAGCTAGCTAATTCATATATGTTTTCATTCCTCTAGCATTCAGCACTAAGTCCAGATCGTGTAGACTCTTTGGTTCCCCCTTCTTCTCTTTCGAGCTAATTCTGCCTGTAGTAGTACTTTAGTTCCTGTCTAATATAAGAATTCAAAAATGTATCCTCTGATTGTTCTTGACTGGGATATCCCTGAACTTTGTCCCTAAATTAATTCTTGTCATATTCAACAGTTTCAATTTCAGTTTCCTCTAGGTATATATAGTTTTATGATTATCAAATTAGTCATAAAATTAACTAAATGAATAATAATTGTACTCTTGCTTGGTTGAGTTTTCATTCTTTTTGAGCCCCCTGCAAGGTTGGAGATCTCTTTAGCTTCTTTATGATCCTGATGTATCCAAGAGTTGCTATGCTATGCCTGCATAATTTTGTATTTTTATGTTAATGCACTTCAAGGAAGACATTAGTTCAAGGGTTTTCTGGTCTGGTTTGAGACACTGATTGATTTAAAGTAGGGATATGTTTGTATTCCATGTATATAGCTTCTCTACCAGTAAATTGTTTTGTGGTTCATTATAGATAAGAACACTGGCTTCTTTTTTTCTCAAAACCAGATTAAAGCTGAGAGATGAGCAGGGGGCCAAAAAAGACAATCCAATCAAACCCTCACTGCCTTTCAAATCGTTTGAGCTTTTTCATAAGAGATAAGCTCACCGATATTTTATATTAATATACAGTAAGGCCAAGAGTCAAATCTAATATCTATTATAAGCAAACAATTTAGAGCTTCCTATCATCATATACTTTATCACGTAACAAAATCCTATAACACAGATCAATCAAATTTCCTCTTCAGGAGCCTCTTCTCCCACTTGCCAAATTAAATTAACTAAAGTACATAAACAACAAAAATTCTGTGGACTAGTGCGTGTGTATCCAATTATGAGGAGTTTTCCCAACAACAGAATAGTCAAAGTATAATGGGTTAGAGATTTGCAGATGTATATACTAGGTATATAATTTTCTCAAACCCTAGAACCTGGGACCATCATATAACTTTTTGATTTACATACATAAATATATACTCATCGTGAAAATCAAGTGTCAATTTTCAAGCATGCTTGTCTTTTTATTAGTACAAATTCACAAAATTAAATGGATTTCCCCACAAAAGAGAATTTTTGAAAACCCTAATGGTTAATAAAAATAAAAATCTGTCAGGTAGGTTTATATATATATATATCAACATACAACCTAGGGTTTCTGTAAAGAGATAGGGGACCACTTCTCAACTATGCTAATGCTGTGCTGCTCTCTTTAACAGATGAACTACAAGAAGCATTTGACACAAAAAGGAATAATCCCCACTAAGGTTTGTTTCCTCTCAAAGGTGAGGAAATACAGCAAATAAGATTAATGCAATAGACAAAAGCTGAAACCTCAAACTTTTGGAGCATAATTAACTCTATGTATCTACACGGACATGGTAATGTGCCATGGTTTTCTCCATCACACTTTCGAAAATCTCAAAAAAAATTTATCCAACTATACCAATGTTGTACTACGAAATGGTTTTGTTTTGTTTTTCTTTTTCTAGCAGAATAAATGGTCTTATTGAATGAAGAAATATATATATATATATATACATATATATCATTTCACAGACCTCAAGAAGCTATGGGACCAATTTTGTCAATGCCCTATTTTGTAATGGGTTTTCTTGGTAGAATGATTTAGGATAAATCATGCTTCCATGGCTGCGACCATGGAATCACGGCCTAGATCTTCATACAGCTAAATATGATGCTCCCATCACTTGTCCGAGAGTGCCAACCAGCGCTTCGACAATCGTGAATGCCGATAAATTAATGTGCTCATCTGCATAAACTGCATCTGATGCACCCATTTTGCAGGACAGAGGGCAAGAAGATCATGACTTGTCCATGTGAGCTTCAGCAACTCAGTATGACCAAGTGCAAACAGTTTACCACTTTGCATGTGTTAAGGCACATATGAAAGACTAGCTGCATTGATTTTCTTAAAAAACTAATCCTATCAGAAACTCAAATGGTCCAGGTAATTCAGTTGATGCATGTCATAATTCATCATAAATCTTATTGTTTATGTATAACAATTCACATGTACATGATTGAAATACACATCAATCCATCAACAAGTTTGTCAGCATGCATTCCATCTAAGCATAACTTATCATTAAATGATAGTAAGCCTCTTCAGCATCATGAAACAGTCTTTGTCTATATTAGAGTTTGTAATCTGAGTTTTTTTCATATGAAACAAAAATGGCCTAAGAGAAGTGATAACTTTCACTAACCTTTCCTTCAACAAGAGCACCCTCTTTGTAACGTATGAGGAAGTAATTGATCTACTTTGTCCAATTAGCTTGTTCCATATTCTTATTACAGTGAAGAAACATATGCTAATCCAACCTTCTCTTTGCCACTAGGAATGGGGATATGTTTGATGTTGATAGCTCTTATTTTCTGCTATGTGAATATTCAATGAATTTAATGATATATTCTATCAACTCTTTATATTAAAAAAACATATTTGACCATTCATGAACCTCGAATTAGTATCTTCTTAAACCTTCTATTATCTGTGGATTATTACATCATTTACAAATATTTTTAGCTACAAACTTTTTTCAAACATTGTCTGTGTTATGTGCTAATTGCAATATATAGGACTTGAATCTCACACAGGAAATATAATGTTCTGTTCTGGAGTTTATATGGATCTGAGCAGTCTAATTTCACCAGCAAAAACTACTTTTGGAGTTGTCATTCTGCGAAAATCTGCATCAGTTTAGTATTAAAGAGAGTTGTGTTGGTTTTCATTCGGAACTTTGGAAGAAATAACACTCTAAACATTACTTAAACCTACCAAATCCTATATATTTTGAGATCATAATAAGTTAATTTATTCCTAAATTCCAGTGGACATGTCGATGTAAGAAAAATTGTTTGGTGCAAACTTAATCCAAGACCATTCATCTGTAGAGTTCTCTTATACGGCCGATGGTCAAATATAGTTGAGGAAGACCGAATTTATTTCAATAAAAATATAGGGCTAAGATGGCGAATGCATGGACAAAACAAGTAGCACTCTATCAGCCTGCTTTAACCACTTGAGGCTTTTGGTGCCTGATTCAAACTTCCTAACAAAAACCATTCAGTTTCCACATACCTACAGTGACTCCTCTTCCTTCCAAAGAAAAAAAAGTATATTTGATACAAGAGAAAATGAATGAAATAAATATATAAAAATCAATACAATATTTCTTTTCAATCTCGCTGCAAAATAGCCAAAGAGATATCCCTGAAAAAATCCTGAGTATGGCCCATAAAGAAGCATAAGAGATGAATTTATCCAAAAACAACAAAGAAGCAGACAAGATGGAGGTGAGTAAGAGTCCCTAAAAAGTCCAGCATTACACTACAATCACAGCAACCACGAACCAAAAAGAGTGCTCCTCTCAGAAGCACCCTGGAATGTTGGTTTTTTTTTTTTCTGAATAAAAAGCATGAATTGTATTTCTGACATGTACCACCCACGTACACCACACATTGGTTATCATTCTTTTTCTTAAAACGTAAGAGTTATTTTACTAAATTTAAGGAACCACTTATACCCCCATCAAAGTGTAAATGTAGAACAACGAGGGACACCCTATTAGAAGCCCATAGAAGGGCAAGATCGAAAGCACCCAATGTAAAACATATATTCAAATAGCTGACTGCTGTTGGATACAAATCTTAAAAAAAATATATACTCATAATGCCACATCACCAAGATGATTCAAAGATCAAATAGACAACATATTAGCCTCAACACCAAAAGATATTGGTGCATAGCTTTCACATCTGATGTAAGCACGGTTACATCTTGTAAGAGGTCCTCGACCATTTTGGACCTCTCAATTAGAAAGGATGGAGCAAATGAAAAAGTGGATTAAACATGGAGTCAGGCAGAGCTTCAGAACGTGGCATTAATTGACTAGAAAAAAATGGAAAATGCATAGAACCCTTGGTTGCCCTTCTATCCATCAGTAAAGAGGTGTTTGGATGCTGTCAAGATGAGATTATGTCCATTGTCAACAGGCCCAGTTACTCTCCTTTTCTTCATAATTAAGGTTGATATGTTCAACAAATCAGGTTT